GGCTGGGTTTTGTTCCCTCAATTTTAGAACGTTGACCGATCAATTTGTTATTTTATATATTTCTCCACGCTACATGGTGCCATGTTGAAAAATATCTTTCCTTCAAGATCACTTAAATCGTAAGGCTTCATTTTGGCGCAATCCTTGATTGGCGCTTCCCTAAAGGCAAGAATGGAGTTAGCTCTGCAGGTACACCTGTAATGTTGTGCTCAAACCAGCGAGCACCGAAATGAGGCAACTGTGAACTCTAGTCATTAAATTAGCATGGCATAGACAGGGCGACAAATAAATTACAATCTCAGATGCCAAGAATTTTGGAGTTTGACTCCCGCGGCAGTTGATACAGGCCCGCGGAATGACTTTGAGAACTAAGGCCGCGAATTCGAGGATCTGCACCGAGAAAAAAACGCCGATGGACTCATTCATCAAACTAAGAAAGGTGTAAAAGCTCCACTCCACCATTTTTGTCTGTGAGTACTTTTCGCGTGATAAATTGCATTGAGCAAAGCTTGTCGTTTTCCTCAATTAATGCCTCAAAATCGATGCCTAACAGCTGACCTTTATAGCTCAGAAGTAGGTCCCTCTTCTGAGCCGATCCTCATGGTGGGTCACTTAATCATGCAACAAAAGACAGGTCGCCATCGAAGCTTGCGGCAACTAAACTGGCAGTTAACGAGTCACTGTGTGTAGTGATATTAAAGTATTCAACGGATTTTTTTAATTGTTGTTAATCCTGCAGCAAATATCCCTCATCTATGTCTATGTCTACTGTAGGAATGAACGGCGGTCTTTTGCGATTGTTGATAACCAGATACACTTAGATACCTCACCAGCATTTTGTTCTGAAATTCGATCTGCCTCGCAACCTCCCATGAGGGTGTGCCGTCCGTTTCGCACAGAAACTTATGCACTTTACTTAGCCTATAGAAAACCAACAGCACAACCTGAAACAAGTGGCCATAATTTCGATTGCCGTTTAACCCAAAGACACGCACACCCAGGGAGGAACCGTTTGCTTCTGGAGCCTTATTAGCCCTTTGCGAATTCCCCGACAAAATAGGATGGGTCGAACTGTATCTTATAGATTTGCCATTCGCAAGAGAGGACACAGCACATGCTTCGAGCTGTGGTGCGTGACAGTAAAAGTTGCAATGAGGAAATATAGCGCTTACGCAAAATGACTGCAAAGGAACGTCGCCCGAAACCTCAGTCAGAGACTTTGGAGGTTAAGTGCGGTTTTTCAAAGAAAAGGCATACCGCAGCTCTGAGAGTCACTCTTGCTCACTGTTGTTCTCATGGCCATCAGCATCGCTGGCTTAGCCGGTTCCTAACAAATGCCTTCTGTTCGATCATGCCAATTTCTGCCACAAAGTTTAGCCTGTCCTTCTTCATCATTTCTAACGATACACAGCCCGGCCCAGAGAGGACTTCAGCTTCAGCTCCAACAGTATCTTATAAAGCTTTGATTGGTCCACCTCTCTTTCAGTGCGATTCAGTGATTCAGTTTGCGTTCAGTGTAATTGTGTGTTGCGGCTGTTACGTCTGTGTTCTTTCAAGGTTCTATCGCTCGATCTGCAAACATGAGCAGACTTGGTGGTGAGAGTTTTAAAAAGGAGGCGCGAACCATCATCGCAGGGTTTTGTTCGAGAGCTTAAATGGAACAAGGAAACCGGTCATATGACGCTAGGCTCAGCGTTCTGAACGCGAAGCGAATCCGTGGCCTGACTGCAATGGCAAAGAACCTAAACCCCATAATCGCGTGAATCGCTGAAATCCTAGTGTAACTTTCCAACTGCCATTTTATCCCATGCACCCCGCTTCTGTGTACAAAACCAACATCAACTAGCTGCGAAATTCACGGAAGCACGATGTAACGACAAACGGGCCTGCTCATGCCTAAGAACTTGATTCGAGGATTTTCGGCTAATCCTTTACAAGTTGCAGAATTGTACTTATCGAACGTGGCGTTAACTGAATGTGTGATTTGTGCTTTGTTTTTATTTATGAGGCGAAATGAGAATCTTTCGCACCAATCAACTGGTAAGGTTACAAGCAACAGGCTGCACACGCAACTCGAGCATAGCTCAAAGCAAACAAAATTATAACGCAACAGATCCAACGCAGCGTACGAAAGTCAACGTAGGGCTGTTTTCAATGTATTAGCAGCAACAAGATGCTGAGCTTTATTTCTGCACAAACAATGTTGATCGATGAGAGCGACTAGGAACGGTGACAGCGGTTGAGGTACTTCGTCCAGTGCTCCCTCTGCTGCTCGATTGACGGATACGAAGCAGAGGCGATCTGCGTCATATCGCAGGCGAACGAGTCAAAACGAGTTTGGTAATCAAACAGGTCCTGACGATCCACTCTCTGGACGTCGCCTAAGGCTTCTGCCAAAATGCCTGAGAGAAATATGTCCTCTAAATGAAAATACGGCAACGACTGCCAATGACGGAGCATTTGACTTACAAGGTCCCCTGAGATAACATTACTGAAGCCAAAACAGTATCTTGGAAGCAAACCGGTAGAGAAAGAAGAAAACGGAATGCAGTTCTTCGCAGAAGGATATCGCGTCGGACAATGGAACTGGTGGCAGTGACCAACAATCGTCCGCTTCAGTGTCTGACCGCTGGCTTTGAGGAAATGATCAAGGTTGTCCTTTTTCAACACTGTATCACTGTCTGCCCTCACCACATATTTAGCGTGACGACAGTACCGATGAATCCACTTAAAAACCGCGTACGTCTTTAACGTGAGGTTGTAGTAATGTTCGATTGTGTCACTGCGTAAAATGTCCCTTTCCCTTCTCATTTCCGAATCGAGGCGAACCATGGAGCTTTCGTTCAGCCAGTGGCTCCCGACGACGAAAATAAACTTTACCGTGCTGTCTGCCTTGAAGTTTCTGGCCCACGTACTGCGAATCAGCTCTCTGAGGTCAAAGTCGCTAAGAGCAACCGGAACATACACCACGTAGGCTATTCGACCGACCGAACATGATTTGGGGGCGGCAACGAAGCGAATAGGGAAGTCAAACGTTCGCAGAAGCAGGTCTTCGTGTTGACATCGAGTCAGTTTAAACATTGCGTCGTTTAAACTACAAAAAACGGATACGACTGTTCTTTTCACGCCGATATGCAAAAGGTAGCCGATGAGTAACGCAAGTAAAATGACCTTTAAGGCCCTTCGCTTCATTTTCCGCCGACAGGATCCTCACAAACAGCCCCGGTGGTGATTGAAACGTAGAACGCCGCTTCGCATCGCTGAAAAATCCGCGCTTCTTCGACTCTTTATCTTTTATCAACGAATTAACGTTCCGCAGAACCGTATCATCGACACGTCATTGAGCAATCGACACAAGAATGAAATAGCTAACTCTCTCGGCTTCTGATAAGCAGCTACTCCGCAAGAGTTCGGTAACAGTACAGAGCGAATGACGACTTTAAACTTAGACGCTCAGACGGCTATTAAACCTGCTGCCATAAGTTGACTTATCAGGAATATACGTCATGATAAACAACCATGTTATGGTGTAAAGGCAACTTGACATATTTCGACAGCAGAATGCAGCAAAGAAAATTTACTTTGTGGTTAT